AAATCTTTGGTAGATTGCGTTTTCTTTCGGAAATTAATTCCTGTTTTGCCTGGCATCTTTAAGTAGAAACTGCCTAAAGTTTGTAGCTGCTAGTGGATTACTGTTTTTTGCAGTGTTGTTATTCAGAATATCGATTATATCTACCGAAAATTTGTTTTAGAACTGGCGCGCATTAATTTATTCCTAGTGTTTTTATTTTTATTTTTGGATTCGTACTACAGTGTCGTCAGCTGATATTTATTTTTAGGCTAGACGATGCATTCCAAAGATCTGTTCCGAAACAAAGCGTTCCAATTGTAGCGATAATGCTTCTCTTAACATGATGCCTCCTGTAGGAAACGATGATCAGACAGGTAAGTTCAAACGACATAATGTTCTTGTTTCTTGGCAGATTGTTGGCTGTTAGCTGCACCCATTTTTAGATATACGGTGCGCGAACGGCTATTCCAACGGTGATGTATCGGCTGGTGTTCACGGGACTAAGTAAGTTTTACTTTTGAAAAGATACAGATGACAGAATGAAAGTATCTGTATTTGTTTATCCTTAAATTTTGTAAAGTTTGCTTTGTAAGTGCATTCCTTACTTATAATTATTGATATCGGATTAATTTCTTGCAGTAGTACAACTTCCAGAGAGAAACAGATCTGCTTTTGTCCGGTATGTTCCATGACTGACTTGATCCTAAAGTTGTTCTGTGTGTTAGAGGCAAATGCTTGGCACTGAACCCTACTGTTGGCCGGATTAGTCGACTTTAATGCTGTGGCTGCAGTTTTGCATACACATACATGCTTAATTCAAAGAGGGAATGCGGTTACTGCTGCCTCCCAGTAAGGCACTATCATCGACATAGTTTCAGTCATTCAAGTACTTCGATAGCTGAAGTCAGATTGCAGATGGCAGAAGCAATTAGGGCACATTTTCCATGCAAACGAACGAATGATTTCGAAAGTTGTTTCTTGTACATGCTTAAGCGTTAATAAATATGCACAAACGTATGTACTGGATCGTTTCTGTTTTGCAGCTCTCAGGATACGAATTTCGCGACCGTTACTGAAGACCAAACTGTCAACGGCAAGGAGCTGATCTCAATTTTTCCCACCAACTTACCATCTGATTCCTCCAGACACATCGCCGTCTACTCGCAAAGGGCAGACAGTGAATGCGATTTTTTGGAGAATGTTGAACTGAACTCTGACTCTGGCAGCGAGTGTCCGCAGCCGTTGGAACTGGAGGAACTGGAACAGTTTGCAAGAAATTTCAAGCTGAAGCGGATCAAACTCGGTAAGTATATCGACTCGTGTTGCTTGTCATTCGAATCTATGTAAATATGTACATTCAGTATGGTGTGGATTAATGGCGATGGATGTAGCGTACTTTCGATGCCCATATATCCTACTGCATAACGAGATAATGAATATAAAGCTTTGTCATCTGCCTTCTTGTGTATATGTAAGCAGTGAATTTCCGTCTACTTATTCGCTCTTGGTTTC